TCTTCTGTAACAGTAACAAAACATGTAATGTGTGGAGAACTCAAGATGCGTGTCAGACAGCTGAATTTAATCCAGGAGAAGGCAGTAAACCAGCGTTTGGAGAAGGTGGCCAATGAGGAAAGTTTTTGAAGGGGCTGAAGCTGTTTAGGATGTAGGGTAGGAAGATGCAAAATGTTGAAATATGTGAAGTTTTGTCCCAGGAAATGGAGAACAAACTGTTCTCTAGGCTCTGTGGTGAGAAACGGTGAGTTTCACTGTGACAAACAAGATTCCATTTTTTCCTAGCATTTATTATGAAGTGTTTAAGGATAATTAAGCAGCAGAGCAGATTGCTTGTGGAACATGTGGGATCTCCATGTCTGAAGCTTTTAAGAAAAGGTTGGACACATCTGTCATCAGCTGTTTAGTTATGAATGCCCTGGCATTCAGACTGAAAAAATAACCTACAGAGCTTTCCAGAGTTCCTGTCAAGTCTGTCTTTCTGTGAAGACTCCAGGTTGCAGCCTTGGTGCTCACAGTGCAATCTTCAGCTCAGGGCTTAAGTGACATTTGCTATGCACAGCAGCTGTCAGTGATGTGACATAAATACATCTTTGCCTTCATGAAGACCAGTACAATTATCTGGCAGATTTTCAGTCACAGTCCAACTTAAGTGTTCATTTTCATTATCTTGCTTGTGCAACTTGTATTTGCTATAATATATTTATTTTGAATTTATAGCTAGTATTTTGGAATGCATTATAGTCTGTACTAAATGAGCCACTACCAATTTTTTCCATATCTTGATGAATTCACCTATTATATCATTGTGGTCAGTAATAAAAAATAACTCCTGCTGTCTGAACAGCAACTGAAATAAGACCATGGATTCTGGAAAAGATGTGATACTTTTAAGTGCTCCATAGTTTGTTGCACTTTTTAAATTAACTTTGCTTACCACTGGTCACTGCAGAAGATTATCCTAACAGATAGCAGTGCTGTGCCCCATAGTTAGGTATGTGAGTGGTCGTGTGAAGCAGAGGGAATTTCATTTCAGATGTGTTTGTGTGTGACTTGCTCTTGTTTTCAGTAAAGCCACTACTCTGGAGAGAACCTATGGACCTGCATGGATAGCATATGGGCATTCATTTGCAGTTGAGAGTGAGCATGACCAAGCAATGGCTGCATACTTCACAGCTGCACAACTCATGAAAGGGTATGTCAAAAATGTCAGATTCAGAAAAATTAAAATTGATTCATGAACAGTGTAGAATATTGACCTTTATGCCTTTAAACAGTAGGAATACATTTGCAACAGTTATCTGATAGAAAACAGAGGGAAAGCAAACAAACATAATCTCATCACCTGAATGTTCTCTGAAATTTGAGAATGGTATTTGTCATACCAGGTCATAGACTGCTGTACAGTAACATCCTGAGCAACCCTCTCATGCTGTGGAGCAGGCTGTAAAATGCAATGCTGTGTATAATGTAGTTGTTGGTAAATATGCTCCCTTTAATTATTACTTCTTCCAGATTCCATTTATAAATGAAATGCATGAAGGAAACTAGAGAATTAAAAAAAACTCTTAGGACTAACAAGCACAGAGAAAATATATGTATTGGAGTTAAAATTCTTGCCAATAACTAAGAAAGATGTAAAATCTTTTAAACTCCCCCCTAGTGGTTAATAGACCAGTAAATCAGCTTTTACTTAGAGGTACCTGTGATTCTCTGGTAGGGAAGCACAGCTGGCATTACTTCATAACTCGTGGTGCCATTCCTGCTAAATGCATGTTTGTTTTTCTGTGGTTTCTTGTGTTTTTGTTTTAGGTGTCATTTGCCGATGCTCTATATTGGACTGGAATATGGTTTGACCAACAACTCAAAGTTAGCTGAAAGGTTTTTCAGCCAGGCTCTAAGCATTGCACCTGAAGATCCTTTTGTTATGCATGAAGTTGGAGTGGTTGCATTTCAAAACGGAGAGTAAGTTTCAAAACAGGATTAAATGCAGTCTTCAAGAGGGATCATTCTGAAGTGTCATGTGCCAATACCTGCTGAAGTAACTGTGCTCAACTGTAGTTTCTTTTGGTTCTGGTTTGGGTGGTGTTTACCCTAAGCCCTTGCTTTCTACATTGTTCTTCATTGTTGAAGACTGAATGAGAAAAGATGCTTCAGGAACATGAAGAGATTAATTATCATCTTGTGTGTGCCTGTCACTGAGTAGTTGCCTTGAAGAGGCATCTGTCTGCGTGCACAAGTGCACACCAGCTGTAAAACTTTGTACATTTTGTCTGCTCAAGAGGCTCCAAATGTATTCTGGAAAAACCTAACAGATATAAGAACTGTTTAGTGAATATTCTTGGTTTACTTACAATTTTTTTAACTTTGTCTTGTTATATTTTGCATGTGCTCCTGAAACCTAACCAAACATAAGTCACTGGGTTTTACATCTAACTTCATTCATACGATCAAATAATGTCAAAGAACTCTTTCTTGTAATATTTGTTTCATACTGCTAATGAAAACTCCTCACTTATCTACTTTTCCTTCCTGCCCCAACCCTCTCAACTCTTAGCTGGAAAACTGCAGAAAAGTGGTTTCTTGATGCACTGGAAAAGATCAAAGCCATTGGGAATGAGGTATTTCTCCTAATAACATGCACTATCATAAGGATGTAAAACTCCAGGAAATTCTGTAATATTTTGTGACAAAATAAGTTGTGCTTATTTTAAGTTAGAAGCAATACAATATAAATTTGACTTTAAAACTTGGACCATCTAGTTGTAATTGATTGTGTTGGCTTTTTAGATTAGAATCATCACACGTTATCTTCAGTGCTGCAGAAAAAGGCAAAAAGTGTGTTTTTATATGAAATGAAAATAAGCTTTGACTGGAGAGTGGCATCCAGGTCTTGTTAGCAGTCTTGGGTCTTAGTAGACCAATGGTTCTTGACCTGTGGGTGGAACTGGCTGCACATGTGAAGATGGTTTCTGCCACTTTAGGTGTTAGCCTTCAAAGGTGAACAAATTAGACTTTTATTTGGATGCAATCCTGCAGGTATGGATTTGATTTGTTACTACCAGTAGAGCCACTGTGTGGGAGTGGGCCCAGGGATGCTGAATGAACTTCCTGCAAGTAATCAGTATAATCACTGGCAAAAAGTCATAGTTCAGTGCCTTTGTGAATGCAAATGGAGCTGTTATGACCCAGATCCCCCAAAGGCTGAACACACAGATGAGCTTGTACCTATTGGTAGTACCAGTTACTTTGTGCATTGCCATCTTCTCTCAAGAAACACATTGTACCAGAGCACCTCGAGATGGTTTGGTGAAAGCAGTACCACCTTGTGACAGGCTTCTTGAGAATGTTAAGATAGGTTTTGCTCAAATTTTAGCCTAAATTTAGTTAATGAGAACACCACCTCATATTACTGTAATTGTTAACAAAGCATCTCCTGCTGACATAAATTGCTTCTAGAGCACAACAAACTTCTTATAAAGTGGAAAGCACTGAAAAAACTATCACCTTTGTGTGAGAGAGGTACAGAAGTACTAAAATGAACTGCACAGGTACTGATTTATATGCTTACAGGTACAGAAATAGGGTTGTTCTGTTTTAAAGTTGTATTGTTGTTCTTGCAAATCCCACAAACTTTGTACACCAGGCTTAAATTTATGCGTGTGCCTAAATTCTTGTGTCCCATTTTTCTTGTTTGTTGAGAAGTACTAAATATCAACATACCTATAAACACAGAAATGGAAATTTAGAATTAGTGGGAAAAACCCAAGATAACTATAGACACAGAGAGACCATTACATTGTTATAAATCATAAATCCATAATGCACTTGGATCCAAAGGATTTTTAATACTAGCAAAAAGCATTTTAAAGATTTTGTTGGCTCAGGCTGTCCTCTGTGTGCCTCATAAATGAGCTAATTTATGTAGAACAGATGAGGTTAGACTATGGAAAAGACATTAAAAAGACCTTCAGCACTTATGATTGTTCTACAAATACCTAATTTGGGAAGACTTCAGTGCTTTTAAGGTGCTTGACATGCTTTTTAATTGACTAGAAAATAAATTTTGTCTGGCTCCCATCCAAGTTTTAATACCACTGGCCCTTTAAAGAAACATGTGTGGGTCTGGAGAACAGAAAAATCAATTCAGTAGTAAATGCTTTGAGATTTGATATGTTTTGAATGGAATTGAAAATGCTTGTGATATTTTCTTGGCCATTAATGAATTGCCTTCTTCAGCTGTATGTTTTTGTTGGTTATTGTTTTTGTTTTTTAAGTAGACCAAATGCAGTTACAATTTGGGAAGCTGGAGTTACTTGAATTGTTTCATTATCTTGCAGGTAACAGTTGATAAGTGGGAGCCTTTATTGAACAACTTGGGACATGTCTGCAGAAAACTCAAGTAAGTAGAGAGCACTGGAGCTACCTTTACCTGGAGTACTGCACAAATGTGTTTTCTCTAGGTCTGCTTCTCATTTATATCAAGATCATGTACCACATCAGAGCAGTGTAGAAGCACCTTGTAAGAACAAGATTGCCTCAATCAGCTTGTGAATGTAAATACACTAATTGCCCCATATGTCTAGCTTACTACACACACCTTGAAGTACTTCATGTAAAAGCTTTTCCTTAACCATTGATTCTCACTAGAAATTTTGTTATAAGCTTCTAGACCCTTGCATGGGTCTGAATTCTAAGTGGCTGCTGTCCCAGACCTGACTTGCTTCAGCATGTCCACTGATTTAATGAACATAAAGGTGCTTTGTGCTGATTAATTGCTTGGATCAGTGCCTATGTTTTTTTTTTAATTTAAGTGAAATATCCAGTGACATGAACACAGCAATAAAATATTAGTTTGTTTTTTGAGAACAGAAATATTTTATATTTCATTTCATATTTCTGTTCTAGGAAGAGAAAAAGAAAGTGCAAAGTACAAATGAGAGCTTCAACAGTTTTAACAGAGAAATGTTTTTTCATTAATTACCTTAATCTGATTTTAAGATTTTAATCAGTGTTTTCTTTTGTTTAATCAGTAACACATCTCATTTTTTTTTTTTTTTTTTTTTTACTGTTGTGGTGTTAATTGTCCACTTGGTGTATACTGTAGTTTTTGTCTCAAAGCTGCTAATGGGAATGTGATTATGGTGGATACAAGTTGTGCTTCTGCTCTGGCTTTAGTAGTAATTGTTTTGTGCTTGGATTGTCCATTAGTCTTCCCTGTCGTTATGAAATATGGATGTATAACAGTTATCCCTTCTGCCAAGGTCAGACAAAAGGCACTGCTTCTCAACTCTATTAATGAGTGTAATTGCAGGCTTTTTCCAGATATTGTTCAGTTATAATTCCTTTTGTCTTAAATTCTGCAACAAGTTAGTAACTACTTGTATTGCACTTGCACTGTGGTACTTGTTCAGATTCAGGAAGCCAGCCTAATGTATTTCTACATCCTTGTAAACCATCTTTCAGGAAAATCAAGTTGAGAATTTAGGCAGAACTTAAGTTCTGTAATAACTGATTTACTAGCATTCATACTACATGTTGTTATTATCATGAAAAACCTTACTGGATATCCATTTACTCACTAGCTCTGTGGTTGAAATTTAAAAGCTGCGTATTAAAATACAGTGGAGGTTTACTGGACAGGAAAGTACTATGAATGAAAATAAAATTCAAATCACCTGTAAGGGTTGTGCAGCAAGCAGACAGCTGCATAACTTTTCTGCCTCAATTCCTACTTAATGCCCTCTCAGGACTTCGTATGTTGCTGTTTGCAGAATTTCATTCTAACTATAGACATGGAAATTTCTTCTGAATGGACACTTGCTATCTTTAGCAACTTGGTACTAGGATGTCAAATGGGACAGTTTCATTTCACCAGGACCATGGAATCTTGGAGTAATCCTTGTTTTATAAAATAACAAATGCAATAAGCAGGCTAATTAATGGATAATTTTCAAAGAAAGGGTAGCTGATATTTGAAAGAAATTACAGGTGTGTGTAAATCTTTTCTGAACAGAGATGGCAGCAAAACAGAAGTGACAGAAGAACCAATGTATGTAGCACTTAGGGGTTGCTAAGTTTTTGTTCAGAGAGCTTTTCTCATTTTGAACAATGAGACAGTTTCATATTGCTCCTTCACTCCCCTGGGGAGGGAAACAAAAGCTGCAGAGAGTAAGCTAATGTTACAGTGAGCAGCATTAAACATCTAAAGCCATTTACCAGATCTGATTGCTGAGATCATCTCGAAATGGGGCCTAGCTGTAGGCAGCTGTTGTGCTGCAGGAGGGGAATGAGGATTTCTCAGTTATGCTGAGGAAGAGAATTGTCAACATCCATGAGTCTGTGCGTTCTGTTGTGTGCAGAGTGTGAAGCAGTAATTTTAAAGTTCTTACAGGACTGTGTGCCACTGAGCTAAAGAAAGCACTAATATAATACCCTAAAACCACCTTTCACCCTGAAGCTTAGTGACGTTGTGCACTTAACCCCACCAGGAAGTACGAGGAGGCGCTGGAATACCATCGGCAGGCTCTGGTACTGATCCCTCAGAACGCCTCCACGTACTCTGCCATTGGCTACATACACAGCCTCATGGGCAACTTCGAGAGCGCCATCGACTACTTCCACACGGTGTGTACCTGCCTTCAGCTGGGGTGCTGGCCACTCATTCTGATCTTTTCTGGTTTCTTCTGATTCAGTTTTGGAACTCGGAGCCAGCGTTTTATCCAGCCTCCAAATCAGTGTTTATTTTAGAATCTTAATTTTTTTTTTTTTAAGTCTTCTGAAGTTTTCTGTTGATGAGGTAAAAAATGGCCACTATGTGAAACTTAGTGCTTGGATCCTTCTTTCTTATAAATCAATATCATATCATAATTGTCATATACATTTCATATACATAAACTTCTCGTGCAGCTGAAATGATTTACAATACTCCCAAGGTACTCCCTGATGTAGGAATTTTACAGTAAATACAACATATTGCACTGGAGTGCATTAAGAAGAGTGTGACCAGCAGGTTAAGGGAGGGGGTTCTCCCATTCTGCTTTGCCCCAGTGAGGCCACATCTGGAGTCCTGGGCTCCCCACTTCAAGAGAGACGAGGAACTACTGGAGATAGTACAAAGATGATGAGGGAACTGGAATATCTCTTTTTTGAGGAAAGGATGAGAGACCTGGGTCTGTTTAGGCTGGAGAAGACAGAGAGGATCTTATCAATGTTTATAAATACCTAAAGGGCGGGTGTCAAGAGGATGGGGCCAGTCTCTGTTCAGTGCCACCCAGGAACTGGACAAGGAGCAGAGGGCACAAACTGGAAAACAGGAAGTTCCAACCAAACACAAGGAGAAACTTCTTTTCTGTGAGGGTGATGGAACACTGGAACAGGCTGCACAGAGTAGTTGTGAAATCTGCTTCTCTGGACACTTACAAAACCTGATTTGACACGTTCCTGTGCAACCTGCTCTAGGTGAAACTGCTTTGGCAGAAGGGTTGGACCAGATGACCTGCAGAGGTCCCTTCCAACCCCTGCCATTCTGTAATACTTCATGATTTGTGAACGATTCTCTGTATAGATATCCTTCTCAGGTTTTCTTTTTGTGCTTTGCTTGCTTACTATTTCAGCTAGTTCATATGGCAATATTATTTTGGTTGTGCAATGTTTTGCTTTTAGAGCAAAGACTATGCTCTAGTAGCATTGTCCAGCAACACAACCACAAACTCAGAAACATCATGGACTTAAGATAAACTTGGTTTATTTGCTACTGAATACTTTGTACTGTTTTTTTAATAGGCCCTTGGTCTTAGGAGGGATGACACATTTTCAGTCACGATGCTTGGGCATTGTATAGAAATGTATATTGGTGATTCTGAAGCCTACATTGGTAAGTCTTTCACTTATGTGACTCTTAAAATCATCAAGTCTTTTGAGAAAAGTCTTATTCTTACATCAGGAAAGACTGTCTACCATTAGCTGGTTAACTTATCAAGTAAAGTATGCTTTTTTGGGGTGTGGGGTTTGTTTTGGTTTGTTTTTTTCTTTGTTTAATGGGTAAATGAATCAGAACTTACCAACAATTGCAGATGACCAGTGTTTTTTGTGAGCATCATGACAGTAAATTCTTATCAGTAGCAAGAATGGAAACACTTTGGCGTTGGAGATGGTAATGGTTCTTTTCTTTTTGCCTGAAATATTCTATGAAAGCTTTCTGCCCCTCCCAAAACTTCCTAGCGACATATTTCTGCTTCACTGAACTTGGTGATTTATTTGTAATGAAGAGAGTAGATGTCCTGTCGACCATATTAATGAGTCTGAAGCCAGTAAACACTATCTGGGAGCTCTGCTGCTTCTCCTGCAGGTTGTTTTTACACAGTTGAAGCAGATGCTGCTTCTCAATCTTCCCTTTCCCTGTATGTAGTCAGTGAACACATCTGGAAGAAGCACACAGCTGTGTGATAGGCACTAATGCAAACCATGCTCTCTGCTACTAAACAAAAAAGCCTCTAAGAGAATTGGGAAGGGATTTGGCAATTACTTCTAATAACTGACTTTTGAATCCAACTTGTGTTTCTTACAATGTGCTTTTTTCAAGAGGGAGGCTGCTGTATTTTTTTCAGAACAGGTCTATTCACTTCAGTCATTAAGCAGTGACAGCTCCCTGTTGGTCTGAAAGCAGAGAATCGTAGTAGTCTTAGGATGATAGTTTCTTTGAGATACATTTTGGGGAGTGTTCACTTGGAATCAACTAATGGTTTGACTGTTTTCCTAGGAACTGAGATCAAAGACAAATTAAGATGTTATGACTTCGATGTACACACAATGAAGACACTAAAGAACATCATTTCACCTCCCTGGGATTTTAGAGAATTCGACATAGAAAGGCAAACTCTGGATGAAAGTGGCATAGTAACATTGGAGGCATCACACCAGAGGAAAAGTACAGACACCAGTCGGCCGCTGGAAGAAACCTTTGAGATTGAAATGAATGAAAGTGATATGATGCTAGAAACCTCAATGTCAGACCACAGCACATGACTATAGATGCTGGTAGAGAGCTTGTTTTGTCTAAGTGTAATGTTTTGTTGTAGCGTTTTTGTTATGGTGTTATACTTTCAAGAATTTGCTATTTTTATATGAATTCAAACTAATTCTCTGTATGTAACACCAGAGAAATAATGCTTGCCTTAAGGATGACTTAAAAAGTATACATGATGGACTGTTTCTACAAACTAATCAAACATGATGAAGTAAACAATAAATTCACTTTTTTTTTTTTAAACTGCTTACTGATCCATGTGTCTGCCATCAGTGAGACTGTGAAGGTTTAAAAATAGTACTTACCATGGAACCATTAACAATGCTGGTAAATTGAACAGCCAGTCTAACGTAGTGTCATTGTGGCTTCTGAGTTTTTCATCCTGTCTGTGAGGAATCTTTTCTTAGCAAACAGACCCCAAAAAATCCATTGTTTCATGCTTGCTCCTTTATGTATTCTTTTAAGGTTTTCCATCATTTCACTCTAATTTTGTATACGTTATATTGGTGACAAAGCATGTTACTTTGGTATACTCTCTCCTAGTTATTAATTTCAGTTCTTTGCCATTATTCTATGTTGTATTACAGAAAGACCATTTAAAAACTGTTTGATCATCTGACTAGACCACAAACAGGAATGGCATAAATGTGAAGATAAACCAGCCTTACTTGCAATAAGCGTTCTACTGGAGTTGTAAGGCACAGTGTACAGCTGTAGGGACCACATTCCTTCTCTTCACACATAGTTGTTTTATTTGTGCAAAGGATTAACTGAATAATGCACATCCACCCTTTTTACAAGCCTCTAAAGTGTGGTGTGTTTAGCTGTCATTGGTTCAGTGGAAACCTCTGAAGCAGCAGCAGTGATTTGTCCATGCACTAGGCAGGACAGCTCTGTTTGCCTTCTTAGCATGAACGCTGAACGTACCTTGTGGCAGTTTTCCCCTTCCCATCCTTCCCTTCTTGCCTGTTCCACGGGTCTCCCTGTGTGGGGCTTGAAATGATAAATGTAATGCTGTCATAACAGTTTCTTCTGTGACTTCCAGCTAAGTTTTGGCATTTAATGTTTAGAATGGATTTCCTGAAGCTTAGCAGTCCTGACTGTCATGTGAAGTACTCCAGAACTGAAGAAGTAGCAATTTTTCTGTAGGCAAAAATTTTTCATTAAGTGCAAAAAAGATTTTTGTTTTAGTCAGCGAAATAATATCATTGGTCTAAAATGTAATTTCTACACTGTACTTCAGTACATCTTTCTTCATGTTTAAATACATATTTCCAATTACACTTCTAGCATAAAACATATGTTTGGTTATTGTAATTATGATTGTCATCTACTTTATTGGAGCAAGGTATAAAAAACAACCTGATGTATTCGGTGCTATTCATGAAATATTTCCTATACCTTTTTTTTTGGCACTTTATGTAACAAAAAGGAGAAAAGGGATGAATCCAAGTATACCTGTATTGAAACCTTGCTGTCATTTTTACTTTCCAGCAGTCCATCTTTCTTGATTAATGGTCCTTTTAACATTAAGATAATGTTTACTTGTTTAATGTTTACTTTTAATTTTGCCAATGAATGGATATCAGATGATGGGCTGATACTGTAAACTTTTGAGTGTTGGCTTTTTTTTTTAATTTTGTATAGAGTTTTGCATAAACTGGAGAATATAAACTACTACTTCTCGTCCCACTGCATCTGTCTCATGGCTCATTGAGTTCTGAGTGGCCAGGTTTTAAATCCTAAGGAATACACAGTTAGTAGAGACTACTACTTGGGAGAAGATGCTAGGTGGGGAGGTGTTCATTATCCAAGGACTCTCTAGCCAATCTGAGATACCTGCTAGTGAATCAAAATGCTAATTCTCCATTTCCCTCTGTTTTGCCACCTTTGCTTGTGCTGCTCAGGCAGCCTTTTTTGCTGTGACTGATTATGTCACAGACTGATATGATTGATTATATTAAGACTTACTGTCTTAAGCATTTTTGTTCACCTTAATTTCTAATGTCTTACTTCATAGTTCTAAAGCATTTTGCTTGAAGTTGCATGTTCTCCTGAAAAATGTGAGATGAGCCATGAGTCTCCAGTCTTTTTCCAAGCACAGTGGGGGTAAAATCAATCTTTCAGGAAGCGTTTGCAACTCCTGGCCAGCACTGGGTCTCTTCAGTGTGGCTGGCTAAAAAGTTCATAGAGGGTTTTCTTTTCTTCTGGTATCTGGTGGTTTGTGTGTGGTTCAGGTGACTCCCTGAATATGAAGCAAACTGGAGATTTTTCCTGGACATACTAGGAGACTGGACAGTTAAGATTGTATAGAGTATGTCTTAACAGCTACTGTACAGATATGGATATAAGCCTCAGGTTGTTTCCTTCTTTCTGTTACTACTGTTTGCATGAACAAAATAGTTCAAACTACTGTACTAGGCAAGTCTCATCCCTTGAAAGATCATCTGGCAGTTTCTTGTACATCTGTGCTTGGATATCCTAACTGGCTGTAACCAGCAAGACATTCTCTTGGATAAAATGACAGCAAAGACTTGTAGCAAAAAAGTCTTCTAGCAAATCAGGCATTTTGTCTGGTATCAGATACGGATATAAGCCTCAGGTTGTTTCCTTC